CACTACGCCCCCCCGTGAGCCCCCTCTTCTCCAGGCTGAACACCCCCAACTCTCTCAGCCTGTCCTCACAGGGGAGGTGCTCCAGCCTCCCTGATCATCTTCGTGGCCCTTCCCTGGACCAACTCAATCAGGTCCATGTCCTTCTTATGTTGGGGGCCCCAGAGCTAAACACAGTACTACAGGTGGGGTCTCACCAGAGTGGAGTACAGGGGGAATCACCTCCCTCCATCTTCTGGTTGCACTGCTTTTTTATGCAGCCCAGGATGCTGTTGGCTTTCTGGGCTGCAAGCGCACATTGCCAACTCATGTCAAGCTTCTCGTCAACCAACACCCCCAGGTCCTTCTCCTCAAGGCTGCCCTCAATCCATTCTCTGCCCAGCCTGCATTTGTGCTTGCATTGCCATGACCCATGTGCAGGACTTTGCACTTGGCCTTGTTGAACTTCATGAATTAAATGTCTGCACAGTATACAACCATCTCTATCAGAGACTGTGGAAGAGGAAATAAATCCTTTCTTTCTGCTTTCTTTTCTTTTTAAAATATTGATTCTTGTCCGTCAACATGTCAGCAACCATGTGGAGTCTGCCAAGAGAAAGTAAGAGGTGTTTTCTACCTTTCATGTGATAAAGTAAAACTTAATTAATGATTTTTAGTGAGCCAACGGAATCACACCAATCTTTTTTGTGCTCATTTCCTTCATACAGTCACTGAATTCCAGTTTGAACTATGTGATATTTTCAAATATCGATCATTATCACTATTACTAACTAGAAATAAGTAACCAGCTGATCCTGCAAAGTTTGGAACGATTGCTTTTAGAACAGGTTGTGCCTATAGGTTTTGTTCTTAACAATACCTTAGTTTGTGACCCTAAGCACCCTGAGGACTCTGAGGACAGTAAATGAAACCCTGACAAGCTTTGCCTTTTGAAGAGCAAGCTTAAATGTTGCCCAGAACAACATTATCAAGGCCTTTTAGAAATCTTTTCTAATCCAGCCCATACAAAGAAATGTACTTCACTGCTCTGCCTGCAAAGACCTAATTGACTTCCATGATGTCACTAAGCTTACTGTACAAGAGGAGCTGATGCTTATGGAAGGCAATATGCATAATGAAAAGCTTAACTAATTCCCTGGAACCAGAAGCAATTAAAACCCTTAATTACCAAAGAAGCCAGGCAAATGACCCATAATTACAGTGGCTTTAATGTTACAGGAAATAAGTGTACTAGGTCTTTCTCCAGTCTTTCTTGATACTGACACTTATTGTCAACAGCACAGCAACATTTTTAATGGATGACGAAAGGTTTACAGAGGTTCACATACAAAATGGATTTATTAACTTTGCTGCACAGAGATGTTATAAACTGTTCACTGTCCTGGCCCACCCACATACTAAATTTAGAGATATGAAAGCAGCCAAGTTCTTCCCCATTTTACATAAGTATGCAACATCAGCATCACTCCAACCAAGAGAGACAGATGAGATTTATACAGACTTCAACTGAGATTCTGGCTGTCTCTCTACACTATTTCTAAAACTTTTGTCACTGATCAATACTACTGCTATGAGATCTCTCAAAAGGTCATACTAATATAGGACAGTTTTCACTTTGGAATGAAGTAGATACTTTAAAAAGTAAAGTAGTAAAGTGTATTAATTTGTATTTCACTCTGAATCTAGAAAAAGAAAAATTAATCACTTAACTAAGGAAAGAAAGAATAAAATCACTGCAACACCTCATTACCTCATTTTCCTACATGAAATTTAAGAATACAAGAAAAGACTGTTAGCTAGTCCCTTGGTATGCACAGCAAGCACTCTCCAACCTATATACTATACATGTCTGGATTTTATCTGTCTATATTTATGTAACCAACAGGGATATCTGTGTTATTGCTATTAGTGATAACCAAGAAGTCTGGAAGGATAAAAGTTTAAAACCAGTTTTGAAATTAAGAATTTGAAAAACGTGTGAAGATAATATATATGCACAGGAAGGGCTTATCGAACAAATATCTTTGATCACATGACACTACTGTATCGACTCTAAAACAGAATGAAGGATGAGACGAAAGATGGCGTAATTTATACACATAGAACTCATCTGCAAATTAAACACTACCATCTATTGTTCTATAAAGAAAGGCTGAAAAGAAAATTTTCATCATCCTAAAATGGGTTAATATAGTCTCAAATTCTTTCATAATGTATTAGAAAAATCTTCCGTTTGCTGTTTCTGGTCTGGTCTGGTTAGGCTCTTAATTTCAGTGAAAATGTCTGGAGACATGGGGACTAAACCACACATTTTAGCACTTTGTTTTTGAACCAGAGTCTTACTGGTAAGAGTATAGAGTATTTCATTCCTTTGATAAAGAGTGAGGAGAAAAGGAACTGAGTATTTGTTACCTTTTTCCTTTTATTCCTTAAAACATTTTCTTTTAATATATTATTATTTTTACATTGTATTCCCTATATGCTCTATGGTAACCTTATATATTGAATAAAAATCCCCATTGATTTCAATGGGCAGCAAAGTGAGCCCCAAAACAGACTGCAGGAAGAAAACCACCAAGTACAGCTAGCTCATGATTTCAGAAGGACATTGTTCATCTCTGCGAACCAGAGGACAGCCAGGCCTTTCACTTCTACAGGTAACTTGTTGACTGTTTACTTCCAAAAGTATTTTTACTTTTCTCATTGTGAAAAACTCTCTCATACTCTGTGTTCATAATTCAAAGCTAAGTAACATCTAAGAAATAAATTATCAATCTGAAAGATACTACTACTGCAATCATGGTTTTTGTTTTGTTCAATAACTTTTATCTCTTTTTCTTTGCTGACTCAATTTTTTTTTCAGATTTTCAAAATAATTCCTACTGACCAACTGTGTTACTAGTGTGAGTGACCCAGGAATTTTCAAGAACCATAATATAATTCGGAATATGACACAGACCCATCTATATCCCTTATACAAATGCTGAGATGCTGAAAAGATGCTGTTTATCATTTATGGGAGGTGGTAGAAATTCACAAAAAAAGAGAGAAACCACCAACAACTTCACTAACATGTCATAACACAGATGCTGGGGTATTTTTTAGGTAACTTGTGTTTTCTTTTTTCCTACGCCTTGATATACAAAGTACTTAGGAACAAGGGGACAATGTATTTCTGAGTGAC